CTCCCCGGCGTCCTGCACCCTCCTTCCAGCCAGCCCCGGCTCACCCAGGCTCTTGGTCCGGGCACCAAGCCTGGATATCCCCTCCCAAACTTTCTGGCTTTGGTTTCTCTACAAAACAAATCATCCTTTGTGACTAGGGATCTTGCCTGCACATGGTAAAATACAAGAATTGAGTGGTGTTTAATCTGCCCGTGAAGCATCTAATTAGCCCGTGTTAAAGTCAGCCCCAGAACAGCTCTTAAGGCAGCTGAATCCGTCCCTGGGACAAGCTACTGTGGAAGCTCTTCTTGCCGAAGAGGCTGCAAAGCAAGCCCTTCCGAGGAATGGTTTGTGCCCGTAGGATGCCTCCAGAGCTGAAATATTCTGGACACTTTGGCAGCACATTTTCAGCTATTGATTGCTCTTTTTTCAGTCAGTCATTCAGATTCAGTAAAGCTGGAATGAAGTATTTATTAGTTTTACAGCAGAGTTAAAAAATCGTTTGCTTCCTGGAGCACTGATTTTATTTTAATGCTTGCAAAACAACTAACTTGCCCACTCGATTTGCAATACTCACTGTTCACAAGGTAAGGAAGGGGGAGTTATAATGCAATATATTGAGTGGCTCATTTACGTGTGCGAAACTGCTGATCTCCTGTAAAATCTATGCAGCCGCAGTGCCACCTTTCGGTTAAAAATGTCTTTTGTGCAAGCTGCAACATTTCTCCTCAACAACTGCCAGGATTTAACTGTTTGCACGTAAGTGTGCTAGAACAGTGAGAAACCTCAGTAGCAGAAATAAGTGCAAGATATACACAAAAACCCTATCAATAAACACATGCACCTCATAGTGCCGCTGTTGCCAGCAGCATTAGATGCATTAACCTGAAAATTGGAAGAGCGCTATTAACAAGCGCAGAAGCCATAAAGCAGAGGACTCTGACTAAAATATGAGAAACAGGAGGAGAAACTGAAGTAATGGGAAAAGCACCTGTTGAATAAAACACACATAAAGCGATTCATGATAGTGAGCAAAGATTAAAGGGTAGCCAGGAGCCTATTTAGCCTGTATCAGCTTGGGGAGTGACACAGCGTGGCGGAGCTACGAGCCCTCCTGCCCTTATCCGCGGCCCAGCCGACCTGCCCACGCCCAGCGCTGACCAGCAGGAACTAGGCGATACTGGGAGCAACTGGGGAGGCCAGAAATGGGCATGAGGTCAGCAAAAAAGGTTCATCTCTACCCCAAGTATCGTATGACTGTGAGTCACACTCCATGCCCGTTGTTAGTAGAGCCCTAGAGCACTCCATGCCCTACAGCGCCTTCAGCCCTCGTGCAGGGCAGCTGGCTGTACGGTGGTGAATGTGCCCTTGAGTCGGGACTCCTCGTGAGGTTGCTCTCTGGGAGCTGTGAGTACCTCTGACAAGAAACTGCTGGAGAGGTAAAAAGCTGAGACTCAGACAGAAACAGATGTGCAGAAAGATTTGCTTGCCATGACTACACTGTATCACCATCTTCAATAAACTTGTTTGCAATTGACCCAGAGCTAATGTCCACCACTCCACGCCACAGGAAAAGTAATTTGAATATAAAGCTGAAGAGCTCCTTCTTCCATGAGGACTTGAAAATACAGTATGGGCCACAGATATTCCCATTCCCACTGGAAACTGCAAGACTGTGTGGGTCACACAGAGAATAGCAGATGGGTGCACATCAGGTACAGTAACCTCACTACCTGCCAGCATTTATCTCCCCTCCTTTCAACTATGAGGCTCTCAGCTCCTATAAACAGACAGGTAGCACCCATCTTGGGTGAAAACACTGTGGCAATGCCAAGGCTGAGGAGACCTTCCTCAATCCAAATAAGGAGAACTTGCATGAGAACAAGCTTCAGCCATGAAGAGATTTGCTCCACTTCACGTTGCCCCTTCTTCCTTCCAGCAACAACTTGGGGGAATTTAGGAATAATATTGTCTTTGCTTCATCCGATTTGCAAAATCAGCTGCAGACAATGGAGTCCAGAGGCCGAGAAGGTTATTTGGGAAAAAAAGTTCAACACTCAATTCCCTTAGGCGGAACAGTCGGTCAGTATTGCAGGTTGAAACAAGATGTGTTTTGCCAATTAACTGTCCAAAATTTTGTCAGAGACATAATACATTTGTCCAGAGCATCTTACTTGCTCGTCTGTTTTAACCATGAACTAGTGGCATCATACTAACATCATTAGATACAGGATAAAGTTAGCAAAGGTTTGTGTGTGGTTGTATGTATATACATGCTCACATAACCAACAGAGCTGGTGAGCTCTGCAAGTGAGTACCAACTGAGCAGAAGAAGCAAAACCTTTCTTTCAAAGAAGAAGCACAAGCATCAGATCCCACTGAGACAGGAAAAGTTACCAAAACCTTCCCAGGGTAA